TAAAGGATGAACAAAGCTCTTAATATTGATCCTAGTAAATTCTTAGAACTCGAGTCACGGACGTATGAATACGCCACTGTCGTGATCATAGACAACTATCTCTCGCAACCCTGACCAGTAGGTTTCCACTCTGGCCCTGGAAGGGAAAAGATGCATTATGTTTAAGACTCGTCAACATTCACAGCTCGCCCATAGGTAGGTTTCCACTCATATGGTTGATCTGCTCTTCTCAAACTAGATCCAGCCCCGGATGAATACTTTCGCAACACCAAGGACCTAGATCAGTCTCTAGTTCGCGACGCTAGATCCATGCTTTAAGTATAAGTTTAGAAGAAAGATTTCTAGAATTTGGCTTTGGTTTATCTCGCAAAGATCCTTATCGAACATAGTCGATTCCCTTCGATCGAGCCTTTAAACTCATACCTCATCATTCCAAAACGTGCATAAAGTAAATAGAAAAGACGTGCATAGATTAATAAGAAGAAACAAGAAGCATCTCGATTTCAAGATCTAAGCTCGGAGAAAACTTCTCTTCAAATCCTTTAAACAACTAATCTAATATGAAGAAGATGAAAACGAAATTGAAAGATGCATATAAGTAAAAACCGAATTAAAATAAAGGTAGAACATAAAGAGAGTTCAAGAGAAATCTCTATCTCCCTAAACTAAAAACTAAGAACATAAGAACATAAAAACCCTAGAAAACTAAATTTGGTGGCTCCCAAAAGGGATTCTTCTGAGGCACACGAAAATAGGTCTCCTTAGACACATATTTATAGGTCTTGAACTCTCTCCAGTCGTCCTTAGGGTTTCCAATGAAGAAAAGACGAATTGGGCTTGATACAGGGTCATGAGCCAGCCTTTTAGTCGGCACCGGTCGTGAGGCTTCTGACCGCGGTGAATTGGGGTTTGGCCGCGGCCAGAGACTCGTAACCGCGGTCGAGAGTGTGTTCTCCACGGTCGTGGCTCCTGGACCCGCGGGGATTGGTCTTTGAGGTTGAATCTTCATTCTGTGCTTGCTTCCTTCGCGAGACTGCAGAACATGTCTTCAGTGCATCAAGGATATCTGGAGATCTAACCATTGGATTGTCTTAAAACCAATTGCATTTGAAAGATAGTTTTCTCTTCTATATTATATCCGATTTTGGGGATGATCTGACGGTGGGAAGGTCTTCATCGGATGTGAAACTTCTGAGGATCCGAATTTACCCAAAATGGTCTTTTGCTTCAAAATGCACAAAAGTGGTCAAAATACGGTGTTATCATACTTAAACACTTAAAAGAAATAAAAATTATTTGAAATTCATTTAAAAACAATTCACAAAAGTGGTCAAAATACGGTGTTATCAAACTGCATGGGCAGGACAATTTTCAGGACGTAGCGAATCACCCACAATCATTCTTGAAGCAGTTGCAGATTATGATCTATGGATATGGGATGCATATTTTGGTATGCCAGTCAGCAACAACGACATTAATGCCTTGAAATCCTCAAATTTATTTTCAAAACTCGCTCAAAGTACCGCTCCTCCAGCTAATTATGTTATTCAAGAAAAATAATATAACATGGATACTACTTAGGTAATGGTATATATCCGAAATGGTCAACTATTGTTCAAACTATAAGCGATCCTTAAGGTCTAAAGAAAAGATTTTTTGCAGCAAGACAAGAAGCATGTCGAAAAGACATTAAGCGTGCATTTGGAGTTCTACAATCCAAGTTTGCTATCATCACCGGATCTTCACGTTATTGAAAGAAATAAGTATTGCATGATATAATGACAGCGTGCATTATACTAAATTTTACATGAACATGACATCAATGCACCAATTAGAAATGCAAAGCCAGTTCCAGAGGCAACAGTTGAAATGGCAATAAATGATAATACCCGATTTTAACAATTTTCATCTTGTAATTTACAGATAAAAAATAAAGAGGTTCATTTATCACTTCGGAATGCATTGATTGATCGTATTTGGGAACATTATGGAATAGTTTTGTTGAATAATTTGGTATAATGTAATAATTTATAATTTAATTTGAATATTTTTATTATTATTATGTTTATGTAATTTTATCTTATAATGTAATATTTTATTTGAATATTTTTATTATTATTATGTTTATTTCAGAAATTTGATGTCTTTAGCTTATACATATAGTTTTTGGCGCCTAAAATAAGAGTTTTACCTGCTTTAGCTCAGTACCGGCCCTGAGTAAGGCATTTGGAACAAGGATGAGCCCCGTAAAATCCATGTCCAAGGCGACGAGTGTAGAAAAACTTGTCCATGGTCAACATGGGAAGAATGGTTAATGACTGGTAAGAGGTTGACGCATCACAACCAACACAGCTTAAAAGCAATGCGATTAGAAAGTATCAAAGCAGTACCGTGTCTAACCTTGTGTGAGTTAGGGCCACAAAAAATTGAAAAAAAATTAGAGCCACCATTTTCTTAACTAGGTTCATGTATATATAGTTAACGAAGTAGAAATTATTGGATTCTTTATTTAAGAAGTCTATATACTAGTATTTATTGTTATTGATAATTATTTTTATGGATATATATATATATATGAAGAGATAATAAAAAAGGATAATTTAAGAAAAAAAAATCTAACTAAAATTTGAAATGAATATGTAGTATAATAAAAAATTAGTAAAGTTTAAACTAAAAATACCAACTCGATTATGTGGTAAATAATTTTCTAGGAAAGAAAAAAAGAAAATTTATGCTTTAAAATTTATATAGTTTTGGTTATTATTATTATTTTTATGTACGTTTTAGGTGATATTTTTAAACTATTTTTTTAAAAAGCCATATATTTTAATTCGTCTAAAGCCTCTACAGATCTAAGCACAGCATTGTATCAAAAGATGGTTGTGAAGATCACACATCTGGCTCTACTTCTTCTCTGGTGATGGTTTTGATCCAAACGTCTTCTCTTCGACTCTAGCTTGATACTGGTTTCTTGTTCAGCATCTTAATATTATATTTTATTTCTTACTTTTAGGGGAAAAAGCTTTAAAAACCCTCAATTATTTAATATTTGCCAGTTTCTTATCTGAACTTTTTGCGTTGCCAGAAACCTAAATGAATTAATTTTTTTGATCAAAAAACTACCTGAAATATTTTATAGTTCCAGTTTTCACCACACGATTTCACGGTCGTTAACGGTCAAACGGAGTTAGTAAACTCCGTTATTTTCCAAAACAAGAAAATATTAAAAAAAACCTTCAACTATTTAATCTTTGTCAAAAAAATACCAGAATTTTTAATATTGCCAAAAACCCACACAAGCTAATTTTTCAGTGTCAAAAAAATCTGAAATATTATACGGTTTCAACTTTTACCCCACTATTTCACATCCATTAATGGTTCTCCCGAGATTCATTCGCTGATGGTTATTTATTTGATATTGGTTTGTTTCTCATCGTATACAACATTTATTTCGAAAGGCGATTTGAATATAAGTTCCTAACTAATCGACTCTTTCGAAGAATGATTTCAGTGGCTCATAATAGATTAATAAATATAAATTAGTAGGTAATCAACGGAGATAAAGAGTGATAGATATTTTTAATCATCTACGAAGATCATCTTAGTGGAGATTAAATCAGCTCAAAAATAAAATGAAACACTCATCTACAGAATCTTTAGTCATAAATATATCGTAATTTCAAAAAAAATATATCGTAATTTATTTCGAATTCTATTGGTGATAACGTTTTTTTTAGTTGTTGTAAACTCTTTGATATTCTGGTTTTTTAGTGTCATTTAACTCAAAACACAAAAACAAAAATTATCTAATGTGGGTTTTTGGCAACATTAAAAGTTCAGGTATTTTTTTGGCAAAGACTAAATAGTTGAGGGATTTTTCAGCTTTTTTGTTTTAGAAAATAACGGAGTTTACTAATTTTGTTGGACCGTTAACGGCCGTGAAATCGTGGGGTAAAAACTAGAACTATAAAATATTTCAGGTAGTTTTTTGATCCAAAAAATTAGTTCATGTAAGTTTCTAGCAACACAAAAAGTTCAAGTAAGAAACTGACAAATATTAAATAGTTGAGGGTTTTTTAAGCTTTTTCTCCTATACTAAATTATTGAATAAACCGTCTAGTGGTCTACAAATATAGTAAGAAATTTGGTCATATTCTATAGTTTAGTATATATAATATGACTCATTTCTACAAATTATAGAGTACAAATTTTTTGAGAGTGTTATCATATTATATGATTCTTTCTTCCATATATGCATTCTCTTTGTAAATTTTTTTTTTGTCAATATTCACATGATGTTGATTACATTGTCTCATAGATTTTTTTTTCTCATATATGCATTCTCTCGTATATTAGATTTTTTCCATATTTACATAATGATTATCATATTGTACAATTTTTTTTCCATATACATTCTTTTGTAGATTATAATATTTGCCCAATCAAATATGTTGGTCCACGAAAGACCTGCAATTTTAATGACATTTTCTCTCATGACAAGTTTTGTTAATTTTAGATATGCAGATATTTGATCATACATGAAAACTCGTTAAAATTTTAAACCAAATCTATAATAAAATAGAACCAATGATTATACAAAACCATATCTCTACAAAACCATGTCTATTTTAAAATTATGATACGCGAACCAAGCTAAATTTTTATCAATTTTGAAATGTATTTTTGACAATTTAAAAAACATTCTTCTACACAATTTTAATAACATTTTTTTATCGCTAATAATAACATTTTTTCTCATAACAATATTGGCTTAGTTTACTATTATTTAAATCCTACAATTTTGGCCTACGAAAAATTTGCAATTTTAGCCCACGAAATTTTCTACGGCACAGTCATTAAAATAAAATTTAGTTATATAATATCTTAGAAATTAAAGTTAGTTTATGTAAAATATTCTATAATATTTTTATAAAATAATTTTTATTTATGTAAATAACTACTCAAATAATAATATAGAGATTATACTTGTAGATCTTATATTTATCAAATTTATCATCATTGAAGGCCAGGTATCTAGTTTGGCATCAATACACATATTGCAGAGAAAACCTTATGATGAATTTTCTTCAAGAGGCTTAGTTGAATCTACTTATTACTATTTTCCTATATTTGCTGTAAAGAGTAGAATTCAACGATGTTATCACACCTCAACATTGTTGACTTTCATCTGATATGTATAATCAATCCTATCATCGCTGCTATTATCTGAGCTTGTGTCAAAGTTGATGCTCTGTTCTTCATCTCCATCATTGTTCATTGACTCAGAAGCAGGTTTCAGATGATCTTTCATCTCTTCTAATACGTGAGGCTCTATTAGTTTCCAGAACCAAGCCGAGTTTGTTCCCTGAAGTCCGATCCAGAAAACTTTTCCTTTCTTCTTAACACGACATTCCATAGACTTCCCTCTCAGAGCCTTCACTACCTTCTCAACACCTTCTAGACTTCCCTTCAATCTCAATATAATGTCTCCGGACGATGTTTTAAAGCCGCTGTACATATACCAATAAGCCAGTGAGTGTGGTGAGAGCCACCGATGAATCAGTTTTGGAATCTCAGACCGACCCTTTGGCCAGAAATGCTCAGCGTAAAATCCAAAGTAGGAATGTGAAACTGAAGAGAAGTTGAACGGTATATCCTCTTGCAAATCGCTCGAAGGAGCCAACCACTCGCGGAACTGGTCATGTATGTGTTGTCTCAGGATCACATGAGCCTGAGAGTTATCTCTGAATTCAAATTTGATTTTGTGGCTCTTCATCTCTTTGTCTGATTCGATTTGCAAGCCACCTAATAGCAAACCAACCAGTACCTCGCGCTGTTCTTTGCTTAGCTTCATGCTCAACGGTTTCTTCACCTCTTTTCTCACCAAGCTCAGGATGTAATCAAGCTTCTCCATAAGCGGCGGCTCGATTTCGTATTTCTTTAAACTCATCAGCTCATATATCTTCTTTGCCTTCACATGATTTTCAGAATCTAGGTATCCCTTCAAAAGAGTGTTGCAGGATCTTGCATTCACATTGATTGTCCCGTTGCTTTTCATTTCATCGAAAACATCCCCTGCTTTCTCGAGGCTACCGATCTTTACCAATGAATCCAAGTATATGTTATATATAGTCTGGCTAGGTTGGCATTTCTCCAAGCACTCAACAAAAGCCATCTCCAATTTCTCATGTAAACCCAAAACGAAGTACATTTTAACTATCTCGATGTATGACGGTAAGAGCGGCTTCTTCCCGCTTTCTACAAACTCTTTCAAGAGAGATTCCGCAAGTTCCACTTGCTGGACTTTACATAGAACCTCAATGATCTTGTGGTATCCAGAAACTGTTGCACCACCTAGATACTTCTCCATCTCTCTAAAGATCTCCAACGCTTTCGCAGAATCGCCGACTTTTGAATAAGCTTCCATTTTGTACACAAACGCTTGAGAAGGTATACCACAGTCTAAATCAAGCAGTTCAAGCCATGTCTTCTCAACTTCTTCCACGCTTCCTTCCTTTGCATATGCTCTCAGTAACGAGACCACAACTTCTTTACTCTCTCGAAAATCCGCCTCCTTCATCTCTTCTCTTAAAGAGTTTATCCTGTCTATGTCAACTTCGTCTTGACAACTATGCAGCCATATCAATCCGGTATACACATCCTTCTGTAACTCAAGACCGGTAGTCAAAACATTGTGGAAGATAAACTCGGCTTGTTTAAGGTCATCACTCGACGGCACTCCCTGTTTGCTAACTAGAGCTCTAAACAAAGAGTTATGCAGACTAAGACGCGGTTTGTAACCTCCAAGCTGAATCATCCTGTTGTAAACGCTGCACGCTTCTTCGAGACAGCCTTGCTCTGAGCTACTTAGATAAGCAACCACAAGAATATGAAACGTGGATTCACTTGGGACACGCCCTTGATTCAAAATATCGTCGAATACCTCTCGGCATTTCGTAAATTTCCGTTCTTTGCCTAAGAAATCAGCTAGCTTCGTCGCTAAACCAAAATCGAACACGTACCAATTCTGCTGCGTCATCCATCTATACACCTAAACAAGATAAAAACTTTCAACACAATTCAGCCAAATTAAAGCATCAACAAGCCATATAATCCAAATTCATGGATTGTTCTGAAAAGGGTTATTACCCTGAATCCTATACACCTAAAAGATGAAAATTTTCAGCACAAATCAATCATATAATCCATCTATACACCTAAAAAGATGAAAACTTTCAGCAGAATTTTAGCCAAATCAATTGCAAACAAAGAGTCATTACTGTAATCTAACATTACCCTGAATCCTGTTTCGTTCTCACGAATCCGCATACAGTGAAGAGCGATGTAAGTAGCGTCTTCTTGACGAACCCATTTCTTCTGAGCATTCAAGAGCCTCACAAGCGTCACGGCCTTATGCGACGGAGCTTCTTTACACAGCCAAGCAAGCTTCGAGCGTCGCCATTCTTCAGGCAAGTCTTCTAATTCTCTCACTTCCACATCAGTCTCTACTCTCCGAGTCGCGAAATTCCTTGCGTCGTTCCTCGCAGACTCTAAATCCCCGAAATCGATGGTTTTCTCTCTCGATTCTTTGATGCCTGCAACGTGTTCGAAGAAAGTCACGCTTCGCTGAGCAGTGGAATTAGCCTGGGAGAAGGATGGTTTTTGGTTCCCATGGAAGGAGAGACGGCGGAGAGAGCGACGCGAGTAGATGCTGCGATGGCGGAGAAGGGAGAAGGAAAGGGGACGGAGGAGAATCGAGCTTGAACTGGAGCAGTGTCTAACGAGGTAGCAGGGAATGATGTTTAGGTTGAAGGAGAGAGAGGAAACGTTGAAGGACGTGACGTTGACGGTTACGGCGGCGGAGGAGGAAGAGGCGACGGAGAGTGGTGAAGAAAAGCCGCGAGCTCCACTAACGATCATTGTTGTTGCATCGCGGCCGTTGGTTTTCGTCTCTGCCTAATTTGTTAATCTTATTTTCTGTTCGGTATCTAGTTTTCTTTTTTATTTTTTGGTTCAATTTGGTATTTAGTTTGGTTTTGGTTTGATTTTTGGGTTACCTATCAAACCGAACTTAATCGAACTTTATGTTATATATATAATTAAAGAGGAGCATTTAATATCGGCAAGGCTTTGTTCCACTTCCACGCCACGAATCTCTTTCCTCTCCAAATTCTTTCCTTTTCTGTTGTAAACAAAGAAAAAATAATCAGGGCCGGCCGGAATCTTTTCGGGCCTAAAACAGAAAAAGAATTTCGTTGGGTCTATTAACAAACGCAATTGTGAAATAAATAAAATTTACAAAAATTGTTAACTAGTTGACAATTACGAAGTGAGTAGTTGACTTTAATTTTGTGTCTTTAAATATTGAATATATTTGATGCCTAACCGATTATGGTTTACATTTTGAAATTATAATTGTCCTAAAAAGACCATATCTTGTAGACTACACTAGAAGTAGAATTGAATTGGGAAAATTAGTATTTGGAGCATGGTTTCTTTCAACTCTTGCAACTCCTGCAACTCATTTATTAAGCCCCTTTTTTAGGATATGTTTATATTAAACACCTGGACTCTTTGTGTATGCGTATCTAACAATTTTGTTGGGGTCAATGAAACTCCAGGCAGAGATGTGGGTCTTGCACAATTATGGGTTAGATCCAACGTAGAGCTAGAAAGAGAGAGAGAGACGTTGCTTTAAAGCAAAAACCTAATTAAATCATCATTTCACCTAGGCACCTAGCTATGATTGATATTATCGTGAGTACGTAAAAATTGATAAGATATACAAATATGATGGAAATAGAGGAAGATATTGAAGTGCTGAATAGTATATCATCTTTTTACGTTGAAATTGTAATTCTGTGATTTTTACTATTCATAATTTCATCAAATTTGAAAAAAATGATTTTGCTATATACAGTAAAATCTCTATAAATTAATAATATCGAGACTATAATATTTTATTAATTTATCGTGTTATTAATTTATAATTATTAATTTATAGAAAAAATATTTTTTTGTCTGTCTTCTTCTAAAATTTTGTTTCAAATAATGTTATATTTAAAAATTTAAACTCATATACTTATAAAATGACATGCATAAACTTAAAATTATGATAACTAGTTATAGCAATCCCAATAAAATAGTTATTTATATTTGTTAATTGTAGATTGAATTATCTATGTAAGAATATAAATGTTCATTAGTACAAAATTTATAAAAACATATGGCTATTATTCATAATGTTGGTGCTAAAATTGAAGACAATACCATAATACATTTCAAAAAAGTTACATGTAAGAAAATTATTTATCATATCTAACATTTTTCACAAATTTTGAATGGACATAAAAAAATAATATTAAAAGTTATTGATGTAAATAAATAAATAGATGATTTTCAATAAAACTTTGAACTTAAAAAAAAACAAAAAAATATTAATTATATTTTAGTATATTATATCTTATCTATATATACATAGATTTTTAAATTATTAATTTATGTTTATATTGAGACCATATATTTACATATGAGTTTCAAAAAATCTATTATCTTATTATATTATCGATTTTGATGAAAATTTACTCGGGACCATAAAAATTTATTAATTTATAATAATTATTAATTTATTGAGTATTAATTTATAGAGATTCAATTATAGTATAAACATGTTGGAAATATACTAAGGAAAACGACGTTATTAATCTATTTAAATTAGTTTTTCAGCATTCTATAAATTATTGCATACAATTTACTCAGTTATTCGATCATACAACTATATCTATACCACTATCCAGCAACATATCAGTCAAGTGTTAAGATTCAAAGGGCACTAGTTTCCTTTTTTTGAGTTTATTTTTGTTTTGTTTTTAGTTATAGTTTTTCGGGTTACTTTTTTTTCCATAGATTTTGGGTTCTTAAACCTGAATACTTAATCTTGTAAGTCTAGTTTCTAGATACCTTGATTCATAAATATGATTTTTTCTTTTACTTTTATGTATTCAAAACTACTAAAATGTATAGATATACTTTACTAATGAATAGTATAACTATAACTAAGTATAATATTTAAAAGTGAAACAAAAAATTAATAATTGAAACTTATCGAGTTTTATGTTACTTTTAGTTCTCAATTGCTTAAAGAAAAATATGAGATTCTTTTAACAAATAAATAAAAATATGAGATTCGTTCGACAAACCTACAAAAACAATACAGAGGATCAAAGATATCTAAAAACCCCAACATTGATAGTAAATAAATTTTGTAATATTTCGATTTTATTATTCATATCATAAAAGAGGATATTAAATGAAATACTCTGACTAGTTTTCTTGATTTATAGAATAACAATTTTCTTAAATCGTGATTGGGTAAATGGGTTTTCTGAAAAACTAAAACCAAAACCTGTCATTTAAAAATACAACCAAGTCAATGCATTCATTTTTCTCTTTTTCTTTGTTTATGAAAACTCATAGGACGTCATAGTTTGTTTGGTGATATATTATTACTCAATAAGAAAATCAGAATAAGTTAAACCATAATTACACATAATTATACATAATCCATATGGCATCCTTGTGTTGAGATATAAATACGAAGATGGAGTGAGAATTTGAAGGTAGAGAAAAGGAAGAGAGATAAGACAAATACCTAAAGAGGATCAATGGTGATAAAGAGAATAGAGATGTGTATAGAGATGGTGAAGATAGCGAAGGAGTTAGTGGTGGTGGTGTCTGAAGCCGTGAGAGTCTTCTTGAGCAACGCTCCTCCGACTCCTCCGGCCCTCCTCCGCCACGGCCCCTACCATTACTCCGCCTCCTTCTCTCACCCTTCCCCTTATATCATCGGTTATCTTCCCTGAGATTAGTAAAATCTTAATTAATCTGTAATATTACTGTAAATTACTTGGTTTTAAGAAAAATAATTCTTGTATATTATTTTCTCTTTCAAGAACACATACTATGTTTTGGTCATATATCTTGTAAATCATTTTCTTTTTTCAAGAACACAAACTATGTTTTCGCCATTTTGTAAATTACTTGCTTTCTAATTAATTACATTCAATCTCAAAGACAAAAAAAAATTTATGTGGGCTTTCTTTTGCTTCTCTTGTCGGTTTTCGTTTTTGATTTTGTTTTCTGGGTTCTAATTTTTGAATTCGATGTGTAATTATTAACGAAACCCATGATAATGGATTTAAAATGAGAATATTTTATTTTTGTAACGAAAAAAAAACAGAGGAACATTAGAGCAGATCTACAGAGAAAAAAAAAAATTGGGAATAATGGAAAAGAGGTTGACGAATAAGACGTGAGGAAAGAGTGGTCCCGTCTCGGACAAGAAATGTCTAGGTCAACCAATTTTTTAGTTATTTTTTTAAGCACATATTGTTAATTAATCCACCGCGCAACTTGTCATATGTGTTATTCATCACCAGATAAGGGTTAACGTTTTTGACAAAACAAAAAATATGTTGCTTGTTTTTTTAATAGTTAACCGGCAATTACTATTATTATTATTATTATTATTATTATTATTATTATTATTATTATTATTATTATTATTATTATTATTATTATTATTATTATTATTATTATTATTATTTTATCATAGTTAAATGGTAAACTTAACATATTTTCCGATATATATAAAATATCTGAATTGTCGTGCAACTTAAACGTCTACCGGTGATAACTAGAAATAGTTTGATAAATTTATGTTTGAAAGCATTTGATCTGTGGCCTAATCCATTATGGCAAACTTTCAACAAACTGAAAACTACTAACGCCTTATCACTTGACTTATAGATGAAATGACAATAATTATAAAGTCTAAAATTGCGTACTCTAGAAAAATTAAGTTAAATTTTAACCTCATATTCGGAGTAAAAATGCAATTTTTGTTTGATATCTATACTATTATTTTTGAGATCAAATATTTGATGTGTCATCATCACAGCGATTGTTTTATGTGTCATTATTAAAAAAAAATGTGGCGTTTTAATTAATTTTGATATATTGATCATTAATCCTATATATAAATATCTGTGACACTGCTTTTTTCCCTTGATTATGGACCAACAATTTTGTTTATGGGCACCGATCTCGAAATCAACCCTAACTACTGATTTTGGTTATAGGTCACTGATATCAAAATCGGTACTAACCTAAACCCTAGCGTATCCATTGTGCTATATATACTTCTCTCGGTCTTCATGTTTTCTTACATACAACGTCTGTCTTCTAAGGTCTAGCATCTTTTTTAAATATTCATCCACGTCTTTTTAAAAATCAATATATACTATTATTTATGCATTTCCATAATGAAAATACTATTTTTTTATAGTTCATACTTCGCTGATTGAATATTTCATCTCTCGCCTTATAATAGAATCGCCAGGTAAATAAAAATTTATGTTTTTTATTTTAGTTCGTGTTTTAAATATTTTTTTCTGATTTTATACATTCTTATGTAAATCCATTGCCTAATAGTTTTTTTCTTCAAAAATTTTATGAGTTTTCCGTAGCGACTAGCAGTCATCCCCTCTGTGATCCTCAGATTTTACCAGATCATCTGCCTCCATCTCAAATCGTTTTTACAGAAGATGAATATTTTCTGCTGATGTTTACAATGATAAATTTATAGGTTAGTTGAAGTGTAATTAGATCTAGTCATATCGCATATGTATTCTGAATTTTGGGATCATAAAAACATCAATGGCATCCCCGTCTTTGTGGCAACTCCAGACCGAGTATTATAGCCAACTATAACCCTAACACTGGCGAAGCCTACTACTTGAGGGTTTCATTGCATGTCTTCTGCGATCCATGTTTTATAAGGATATAAGAATAATTAATGGTATTGTCCACCCTACTTTCAAATATGCATGTAATGCTTTGGGTTTAATTTAAGGATGATACCGAGTATGTCGAAGCTTTCTATGAGGTAGGTCAATAGGTTCTCGCTCTTCTCTTTGAATGATGTACACTGCTTTGTTATGTGCAAGTTCTATGATGAATCTCTTTCGTATTTGGAGATCCATTCAATGTTTTTAAGTATAAGTTTCGTCAATTATTTGCATTGTCCTTGATTTCTTTTCCGTAATTATCTTATTTTAATAACTTCTTAGATTTTTTGTTGTGTTTGGATTTTAATTATTTTCCCTAATATAATTTCTAAATTTAATAACCATCAATAAAAATAAACGACTATACAGATTTCCAATTAGTTTTGCTAATTAATTATTTATATATTGTTCTTAGTTTTATCCATTCATAATTGTTATTTATCGTTAAAAAAGACATACAAATAGTTTTCCTAATAAATCGTATATATTGCTTTTACTTTTATTCACCTATAACTTCTTTACTCAGGTGAATTTTGTCGTAACCTTGCTAGACCAGGAAGAACAGATCGAACAAAGTTCGTCTTAACAATCAACGTTTGGACTTTGAGCACTTCAAACTGAACACCACCAAGCTCTGCATGAGATTGAATCTAACAAAAAAAAAAAAAATACATGCAAGGTTAAATCTCTTAAAATAAAGGATAACAAAAACTAATTGTGAAAATGTACCTAGCAAGTTCATGTTTTCAAGGTGTTGTTGATTGTACAACTCCTATATATACCCTCTTAAACAATGAAACCTTAATTAATCATCTAACAAACAGTGACTCTGCGAC